GAAGATCGCGGGGCGGGGGCGGGAAACAGCTGGGCCAGGAGCTCCCCAGGGCCCCGCGGAGCCCCAGCTTGCAACCCACCTCTGCAGCACCTGTGCTGCCTGCATGGCCCGCCACCCCCCCCCCCGGCCACACCCACAGTCCTTCTGGCAGCCTCCCGCCTGCTCCTGGGCTGAGCACCTGCCAGGAAAGGGGGGTCAGGCTTCGACCCGGCCCCAACGCCCCCCTGCACCCTTCAGTGGGCCTCCGGGAGCAGGCGTGCCAGGGAGACATGGGCCAGGCTCCAGGGCCACGGGCTCTGCCTCCGTGTGCGCCCCGGGGTGGGGCAGTCCTGCCCTCCGAGCAGCGGCTCCGAGGCCCCGGGGCTGAGCGTGCACCTAACCCTGACGGCCCCCTATAACCCTGATGGCCCCCTATAACCCTGACGGCCCCCTATAACCCTGACAGCCCCGGGGCCCAGAGCTTTCAGATTTCAAACCAACATCGGCCTCGACCCCACTAAGCAGATCTCTCATCCAACGGCTTCCAAGCGCTGTGGGGCTGACTGGCCCGGCCACTTGCTGACCACCAAGCTCATCGGGCCTCCCCAGGCCTCCCCGGCTGGGGCAGCGGAACCAAAGCTCAGCAGGGGACGCCAGTTGCCCCAGGTCATGAAACGGTACCGCTGCAAACTGGGCCCGCGCTCCATGGCCCCTGCTGCTCCCCCCCCCCCAGTACAGGTGTCCGGGACCCATGATTTACCTCTAACGTGGGGGTCAGAAGACCTTAAACCAGCTTAGCACCTCGGCACGCCTTGGGCTTCCACAGCTTTGGCTGTACGATGGGGGCCCCGGGTGCCACCAGCCACCAGCTTGGCAATGGGACTGCTCAGCCTCGCTTCGCCTCTGGGCTGGAGCCTCGGGTTCCTACCACTGTCCTTCCGCCCACGGCCCCGGGCACCAAGGCCCCTGCCCCAGCTGTGTGGGCCCGGGGAGAGGGCGCCCACTGAGGAGAGGCTGAGCTCCCCCGCCCCCTGACTTGCTCGCTCCTCGCTCGTTCCCAGACCGAGGCGGCTCAGGATCGCTGCCACCCACCAGCCCTCTCCCTGCTGTCACCCTGACACTCTACGGCCTTGACGCCAGGCCACATCCTTGCAGCCCTTCCGGGCGCTCTCTCCACGTTTCAGCACCTTGCAGGGCCTCTCTGACGATGGCCCCCTGGCACGGGGGGGGGGGGGCAGCACCCACTGCACGACGGCTGTGGGCTCGGTCTTCCCACTAAAACCAGGCAGGCCCCAAGGACCGCCCCCCAGCACTTACTGGGAACCTGAACGCTGCCTGCTTGCCGTGGACGGGCTGGCGGCCTGCAGGCCTGCGGGTGGCGACCGCCGGGTGGAGCCGGTGCGGAGGAAGGCACAGCGCCCAGGGCCTGGGACACGGGGAGGGGGCCTGGCTGTCCCTGGAGCGCCCACGGAGGCTTCCCGGGGTCCGGCGCCCAGGCTCAAAGGGGAATTAACTGCCCAGAGAAGGCAAAGGCGGCCGTGGAGAGTCGAGGGGGCAGGACAGGGAGGCCGGGGAGCTGCAGCCCAGCAGGCAAGAGGCCGAGCGAGGGGCGGGAGCTGCTGCGGGTCCAGCCGGTGCCCCTGAGCCAGGCCGCAGCTGCACCCAGAGAAGGCTGCGGGGGGGGGGGGGGGGGGGGGCGGGGGGGCTGGCCCCGAGGGACACACGTGGAAGGCAGCTCCTCGGCCCAGGCCCTGCGCTGGAGCCCGCGGCCAAGAGGGGTCAGGCTCTCACTGCGGGAGCGGGCTCGTGCCCTTCACCCCGGGTCACGGCCTCCTCCACTCGCCCCTTCACCCGCTACGTGGGACTCCTCCAGGAACAAACAGGCAAAGAAGCTCTCATGGCCCCCGTGGGCGGGGACGGCTGAAGGTCTTGGACAGGCGCCCCCATTTCACAAAACCAGAGCATCTTCCTTCCCGGGAGGCAGGGGCTCCCGCGTCGGGGGGGGCAGCGCGGGGCGGGAGGCAGGAGCCTCCGCAGCCTCCACCGCCCGCGGGCCACACAGCTGCGGGGACACCGGGTCCCGTCGGCCGCCCGGCGGGTGAACCCAGCCCCCGCCCCCGGGGCCCGTCTCCCGAGCTCGGCCCGGAGCCCGGGAGGGCACAGCCGGGCCCGCACGCTCGGCCCCCGGGTCCGCGGAGGCCCCGCTCCGACCGCGCGGCCTGGGCACGGGGGGCGTCGAGGGCCCGGCCGCGCGCCCCGCAGGGCAGGGCAGGGCAGGGCAGGGCGGAGCCGGCGGGCCGGGTGGGCTCCGCGGCGGAGGATGCAGGCGCCCGGCCGCGTCGGGCCCCACTTCCCGGCTCCCAGCGCCCGCCGCCGGGCCGGCTCCCCGGTCGAGGCTCGGGGCCTACGTGCGTCGCGACACACGGACGGCGGACCGCGGCCAGGGGCGGCCTTCGGTCCCCCGGAACCAGTGCGCACGGCGGCGGGGCCAGTCCCCCAGGGCCTCCGAGGGACGGGCTAGAGAGGCCGGTCCCCCCCCACCCAGAGCCTCCGAGGGACGGGCTAGAGAGGCCGGTCCCCCCCCCCCAGAGCCTCCGAGGGACGGGCTAGAGAGGCCGGTCCCCCCCCCCAGAGCCTCCGAGGGACGGGCTAGAGAGGCCGGTCCCCCCCCCCCCAGAGCCTCCGAGGGACGGGCTAGAGAGGCCGGTCCCCCCCCCCAGAGCCTCCGAGGGACGGGCTAGAGAGGCCGGTCCCCCCCCCCCCAGAGCCTCCGAGGGACGGGCTAGAGAGGCCGGTCCCCCCCCCCAGAGCCTCCGAGGGACGGGCTAGAGAGGCCGGTCCCCCCCCCCCCAGAGCCTCCGAGGGACGGGCTAGAGAGGCCGGTCCCCCCCCCCCCCAGAGCCTCCGAGGGACGGGCTAGAGAGGCCGGTCCCCCCCCCCCAGAGCCTCCGAGGGACGGGCTAGAGAGGCCGGTCCCCCCCCACCCAGAGCCTCCGAGGGACGGGCTAGAGAGGCCGGTCCCCCCCCCCCAGAGCCTCCGAGGGACGGGCTAGAGAGGCCGGTCCCCCCCCCCCCAGAGCCTCCGAGGGACGGGCTAGAGAGGCCGGTCCCCCCCCCCCCCCAGAGCCTCCGAGGGACGGGCTAGAGAGGCCGGCCCCCCCCCCCCCAGAGCCTCCGAGGGACGGGCTAGAGAGGCCGGCCCCCCCCCCCCCAGAGCCTCCGAGGGACGGGCTAGAGAGGCCGGTCCCCCCCCCAGAGCCTCCGAGGGACGGGCTAGAGAGGCCGGTCCCCCCCCCCAGAGCCTCCGAGGGACGGGCTAGAGAGGCCGGTCCCCCCCCCCAGAGCCTCCGAGGGACGGGCTAGAGAGGCCGGTCCCCCCCCCCCAGAGCCTCCGAGGGACGGGCTAGAGAGGCCGGTCCCCCCCCCCCAGAGCCTCCGAGGGACGGGCTAGAGAGGCCGGTCCCCCCCCCCCCAGAGCCTCCGAGGGACGGGCTAGAGAGGCCGGTCCCCCCCCCCCAGAGCCTCCGAGGGACGGGCTAGAGAGGCCGGTCCCCCCCCCCCCAGAGCCTCCGAGGGACGGGCTAGAGAGGCCGGTCCCCCCCCCCCGCAGAGCCTCCGAGGGACGGGCTAGAGAGGCCGGTCCCCCCCCCCAGAGCCTCCGAGGGACGGGCTAGAGAGGCCGGTCCCCCCCCAGAGCCTCCGAGGGACGGGCTAGAGAGGCCGGTCCCCCAGGGCCTCCGAGGAACGGGCTAGAGAGGCCGGTCCCCGCCCCCCAAGCCTCCGAGGGATGGACTAGAGAACAGGTTCCTCCGAGCTTTCGAGGGACGGGCTAGAGAGGCCGGGTCCCCCAGAGCCTCCGAGGGACGGGCTAGAGAGGCCTGGTCCCCCAGAGCCTCCGAGAGACGAGCTAGAGAGGCCGGTCCCGAGCCTCCGAGGGACGGGCTAGAGAGGCCGGGCCGCCGGGCGGGGCCCGCCGAGCGCCGCGTCACGCGAGGGGCGGGGCTGCGCGGCGGAGGCCGAGCCGGAAGCGGAAGAGGCGCTCGGAGCGGGGAGTGGGGCCTAGCCGCAGCCGGATCCTGGGCCACGGTGAGTGCGGGCCCGCGGCGGCGGCGGGGGGTGAGGCGGGCGCGCCGGGCGCGGGCCTCTGGCCCCGGGTGGGTCCCGGCCCCTCCTCCTCGGCCCGCCTCTGGCCGCGGCCCCGACCTCTCACCCCTGACCCGCGGCTTCTCCGGAGGGGCGGCCGCCGCAGACCCCGACCTCCGGGCCCCGCGGAGCCGGTGCGGGTGTCGGGCCGCGGCGTCTGAGCGCCGGGCGGCCGGGAGCCGGGTCCCCCCGGGGCCTGCGCGGGCCTCGGACCCTCCCGCGGCCCCTGCGCGAGGCCTGCGGGCTCCTCCCCGCGCCGCCCGGAGTTGGATCGCGGTTGAGGCCGGCCCCCCGCCCGGTGCGGCGGTTACGGGGATGGGGCCCGGGGCCGCAGGGGCGTCAGGAAGGGACGCGAGCGGGGCCCGGCGGCGGGGGGAGCCGCGGATGGAGCCGCGCGGGGAGCCGCTCCGGCCGGGAGAGGGGCCGGGCCGGGCCGGCCGGCGGGGCCGGGGCGCTCGGGGCGCGGTGGTTCCGGGCGCGGGCGCCCCGTTGCGGAGCCGGGGAGGGAGCTGCCTACGCCGGGCCCCCGTCGAGGCGGGGCTGGCGGGCTTCCAGCTTCCCTCCTCCGTGCCCTTGAAAAGGAGGAGCGTTTCCCTCGGTGGCAGCGGCTCGTAAGGCGGCGGGTTTGAGGCTGCGGCGGTGCGGCGGCGGCGGCGGCGGCGGCCAGAAGTAACCTCGGGGCGCTGGTGCGGCGGGCCCGGGAGCGCAGAGGCGCCCGCCGTCTGCTCCGCTTGCCAGCCCGGCCTGGTTTCCTTTACGTGGTCTCCCTCTTCGCTGCAAGAGCAGAGCCTCCTGGACCTGACTGTGACCCCTAAGTAGCCGGCTTGCTGGGGTCTCGGAGCATCCGAGGTCGTGGATGAGGAGGGGTAGACCGGGGGCATCTTGCTCCCAGCGCTTGGGTCTAGCATGCGTTGAAGGAGAGCCCACCTGCCCTCGGATCCCTTGTGCGGTGCTGGGAGCGCTCCTCCTTGTCACCTCCCCTGCCAGGTGGGCCGGCCGGCGTTGTCTCCAGTGTTCAGGTGTGACCAAGGCCTAGTGTGACTTGTGTCAGGTCCCGAGGCCACAAAGTGGCAGCACTAGGATTTAGTTGGGGGTTTTCTACCCAGGGCTCTTTCTCCTCTTGGAAGGGGCTTAAAAAAATATTGTTTCTGTCCTAACATAGACTCGGAGGTGTTACCTGGAATCTTTTTTAATCTTGCTAATGAAAGGCTGACTTCAGTAAAGCCATTTGACATAAAAGCAGGTATTGTCGAAGTGGCATAATTAAATCCTCGCAGAGCCCTAGGAGGGATGGCTGTTGCCTCGTTGCCAGAGGAAGTCGAAGGTCAGGGTAGTTGAATAGCTTGCCCGACGGCAGGCGCACAGCTGGCAGGGGCAGTGTTGGGATTCCGGCAGATCTGAATTTGTGTTCGGTTCACTATGGTAAGCACGGGTAGACACACAAATCCTCCAGGTCCCAGGAGGCAGTCGTGGGGGTGAGGTTTGAGGTTGCAGCGCTGGGGCAGCATCAGCCAAAAGTAACCACGGGGCGTGAGTGTGGAGGATCGTGTCCTCCAGCTCTGGTGCTTCTGTCCGCCTGGCCACCAGAGCATGCTCCACGTCACTCAGGGAGACGTGAGATCCTGCCCTCACCCCATAACTTGGGCGCCTGGCCTAGGGTAATTGCAGGAAAACAGTGAAACATTAGTCAGCTGGTCATCAAAACAGAAAAGCAATTTAAGCTCTTGGGGAGCTGTTGGTGATTTCACATAGTATTTACCTCCAGGGGTTGCCGGGGCCTGGGCCTCCAGCTAGATAGGGGAAGAGCCTGCTGGTGGGGAGACGAAAGCAGTGATTTTCTCAGGGTCCTGGAGAAGCTCCCAGGGATTTAGTCAGACACGCCTGGCTGCCCTGCTCACCCACGAGGAGCTTGTTCAAACCCTTCTCATGAGATGGGGCAGCCCTAGTGGCTTTGTCCAAATGTGCTTAACCAGGCAAGCCCGGGACTGACCACCACTGGAGGTTGGCTAAGGCCCAGGAAGGGGTTGGGAGGAAGGCCGGCCACAGTCTCTGGCCCAGCCTCCCGACACAGGCAGGGCTAGGTTTTGGGTGTGGGTGGATCGGGGAGCTGGCCTCGCAGCCGTCTTCCTCAGCTGCTGTCTGATCCAGCCTGGCGATCTTCTGTGGTAGGTTTAAGTCCCACTGAACAGGGATGGCCAGGTAAGGGCCCTTTTGGCCTGCCTCCAAGCGCACAAGCTTGCCACACGTTAACCCCCCCCCTCCCCCGGCTGCTCCAGAGAGGAGCACAGGAGAGGGGACGGGAGCAGGGCGTCTAGACAAGGGGCACGTCCAGAGAGGCGAGGCACGGCCTGCCGCGGGTCGGAGGGTTCCAGGGGGTCTTGGGCAGGGAAGTCGGGGGCTCTGAGGATGCTGGCGTCGGTTTACCAGTGCTGAGACGGAGTACGGAGTAGCAGGGGCTGGACGGCCCCCAGTCTGCGCGGGCTAGGGCCAGTTTGTGAGACCCTTTGCGTCGCCTGCTCCAAGGGCAGGTCTCATTTCTGCCCGTGGCTCCTCACACTGACATGTGGTCTTTGCTCCCTTGAGTGAGGTCCAGTTTAAGGCCTCGGCCAGGCAACTTGGCCTCAGACTTGAGGGCTTTCACCCTTTGCTCCTGAGCGTTGGCTCCCTGCCAACCAGCCTGTGACTCTGGCCTCTGGCTTGACAGACCAGTCCCTTCATAGAGCCGCACCGACATGAGGCTCTCCTCCCCTTGGCCTTGGTCGCCAGGGAGGTGCTCCCCAGCCCCCCTTCTGTCTCGGCACCTGTGCCCGTCCTCCGGGTGTCCCCGGGCACTCAGGCCCCCAGGCCCGCAATGCTGCGCTGGGGAGGCAGCTGTTTGTTCGCTGGCAGAGAAGGGTGTTGCCCGTTGTGTGCTGTCTGACCAGTGTGACCTCAGAGCTCTTTTTGGCTTCATAAACCCCTGGGAGGGGCTGCCCCCAAACACAACAATGGGCCTCTTCTCCAGGAGCGCCTCGGCCGAGCAGCCCCACGCCTTGCTGCCCACTGAGCAGGGCTCTCTTTCTCGTGGCCTAGATGCATCACTGTAAGCGATACCGCTCCCCTGAGCCAGACCCATACCTGAGCTACCGATGGAAGAGGAGGAGGTCTTACAGTCGGGAGCACGAAGGGAGACTGCGGTACCCGTCTCGAAGGGAGCCTCCGCCCCGGAGATCTCGGTCCAGAAGGTGACAGGGGCCTAGGTGGGAGGAAGGGGCCCCATCCCCCAGCGAGGCTGGGGAGACAGCCTGGAGGCTGCTTTGGGGCCGGCCGCCTCTGCCCCTGTCCCCCGCCATACACGCCCCCCATCTCAGCTGTGTTCCTGGGCCCCGGGCTCACTGCTGTCCTGCTGCCCATTTCCCTGTCCTTGAGCCTTCCTTCCCAGACGTGTTCCCCATTTTCTAGGCCAGCATGTCCCCTGCTGACTTCTGAGCTTCCCTCAGTGAGGTTAAGAACGTAGCCTCCATCCCTTCCAGAGCTGGGTCCCTGGTCCTGTCTCAGTGGGCGTGGGGACCCCTGAGGCCCTTCATGCCGCGCACCTTCCTCGGAGCTCTGCCTCCTGCCCACAGCGTTGGGCCTCATGCACACGCCCTCCCCTCCCCCCAGGTCTAGATGCCTCTGCTCCAAGCCTTGTGAGCTCTTTTTGGGAGCCTCACCACACATCTTTTGCCCAGAAGCAAACCCCGGGCCCGTGGGAGGAAAGCTCCCATCTTACCAGTGTTCCCGTCTCCCTCTGGCAGCCACGACCGCCTGCCCTACCAGAGGAGATACCGGGAGCGCCGTGACAGTGACACGTACCGGTGTGAAGAGCGGAGCCCATCCTTTGGAGAGGACTGCTATGGATCTTCACGTTCCCACCATCGTCGGAGGTCCCGAGAGAGGGAGCCGTACCGGACGCGCAAGCACGCCCACCACTGCCACAAACGCCGCACCAGGTCTTGTAGCAGCGCCTCCTCGGTGAGTGGTGGCCAGAGTGTGCTGGCTGGGGCTTAAAGGCCTCCTGTCTCTCTAGCCTTCTCTCAGGCTGGCTGGTCCGGGTGAGTACTGCCAGCCCCACGCACGCGCATCGGGTGTGCGTGCATGTGTGTGTGTCTGTGTCGTCTGGTCCAGGTGCAGGGCTGAGTAGGAGGCCCGGCCGCTCCGTCTGCTGGCCCGTCGGCAGTGGCAGTGGGGGGCTCTGGTTCCGGCGCTGGCTGGCCCCCGGCCTGTCTCTGTCTACACGCTGCTCTGGGCACAGGCCACATGGTGCGAGTGGCTGGGGACACTTAGGGAACCTGATAGGGCTGCTGGTATGTGGTTTGGAGCTGCGCGGTCTGGTCCTTCCCCACCCCGGCGTGGCCCACGCACAGCGAGCTCTCTCGGGTATGGACAGCACCCACCTCCAAGGTGTCTCTTCTCCACACCCCTCCCCGGGGGCCTGAAGGCTGGAGTGCCCACGGGTAGGGAGGTCTGCCTGGCAGCTTGGACTGCGAGCTGCCCTCTGACCTGCAGCCAGGCCCTCTTCAGCCTCGCCTCTTCCCGGGAGGGGCGGTTGAGACCAGGAGGATGTGCTGCCCATACGACGGGCCACCTGACCAGGCGGCTGAGCGGCCTGCGGCCCAGGCCTTGTCCAGTTGCGGGCTACCTGCCAGGAGCAGGGCCTGGCAGTGGTGGTAGCGCCCAGGTCATCTAGATCTCTGCCGAGCCTGGGAGTGCACGCCGCCCTCGGGCCCCTGCGAGGAAGGCCACTTGTGTGTCTGTCAGGTTATGTGCTGTCTTCTCTTCTCCTCCCCATCCCTCTTCCCTCCCGCCGGCCAGGAGGCCCCCCGAGGACTAGTGGTGCAACCGGTGCAGGGGCCAGGCATCTCTTCTGCTCAGCTTTCCTGTGACTTCCTTGAGTGGCCAAGGGTTGAGGGTTGACCACGGGCGGCCCGCGTGGCCCAGTGGCCTCTGTGCACATTGCCACGTTCTGCTGCAGGATGGCGGTGCAGGTCTGCAGCTCTGCTGCTTCTCTTTTTGGTGCCCTGTGTCATCACGAGGCTCAGGATGGCCTGGCTTGTGAGTATGGTGGGTGCCAAGGCCAGGGCAGGAGCTGGTGTGGGGCCTGTGTGGGCCATCGTGGTAGGAGGGCGACCAGCCCAGAGGATCCCGGGCTCCTTCCCTGCTCGAGGCCGGTGGCATGAGGGCTGCCGACGGAAGGCCGTTGCTGGTGGCGATGTGAAGTCTGACCACGGTTGCCGTCAGGGCAGGTAGCAGCTTGGCTCTGTGTGGCAGCTGTCGGGCATGTGCAGGGCTGCGTGTGCGAACGGAGGCAGGCAGTGACAGGCTGGGCGTTCTGCGGTGGAAGCCAGAGCGGCCTCTGATCATTCCGGACGATCAGGCCCGGGCTGAGCCGGCCACCTTCTTGCGCCGTTCTCACTGCGTCTTCACCCCGGCTGGATCCATCACGGGAGGGCCCGGGAGGGGGACACTCGGCGAGAAGGGAGTTGGGACCCTGGCTCTGCGCGTGGCCTGGCCCCTCAGCAGCAGAGGCTGGTCGTCTTTCTGAGCGTTGGCGGCGCCCTTCTCTTAGATAATGTCCGAGTTTTCTTTACATACCTGTAGCTGTTTTTACTTTTCTGTTTTTGAAGTCAGTTTGTGTCTTGACGTGTCCCTTGCAATATCCCTATCGTTATATATGCTGTGTGCCTTATGAAATGCTGGGATCTGGAAAATCCAACCAACCAACCCACCGGCTCCTCACCGTCTCCACCTCTGCCTTTGACTGACACCTCAATCTGTCAATCGGAACCGCCTACCATGCGATTGGTCGGATGGCGTTTCGGGGGGCGGTGCATGCAGAGAAGCCAACAGAGCAGTAAGCGCAGCAGCCGGAGTGTGGAAGATGACAAGGAGGGCCACCTGGTGTGCCGGATCGGCGATTGGCTCCAAGAGCGATGTACAGCCACCTTTCGTAAAACTTTACCTCTCTACTTTCTACCCCCTTGTTAGACGAGACCTCTCCTGCCCAGAGGGGCCTCTAGTGCGCGTGGCGCCTTTGCGGGGCCACCAGTAATTGCCTGAATGACACAAACGCTAGCAACTTCTGTTTTTAAGAGTGTAGCAGTGAGAGACAAACCTTTTTTGTTTTTGAGAATTTGAATGCTGTGAACTTGCAGGAGCTGCCGGCCCTCTGCCCTCCAGGCCCTCATGCCCTGCTTCTTTTCTCTCCTAGATGAGATCGTGGGGAACCTGGGCGAAGGCACGTTCGGCAAAGTGGTGGAGTGCTTGGACCACGCCAGGTGAGCAGTCGTCCTGGGAAGAGCTAGCCTGCGGTTCCTGAGGGTGGCGGCAGTCTGAGCCCCCGTGTGCTTTCCGAAGGGCAGCGCCATAGCAGGGTGCTGGCCCGCGCGTGTCGGGCTTCTGCTGATACCTGGGAATGGGGAGAAGTTCTGGGGCTCCACAGGCACGCAGCATCCCCGCCCAGGGGATGTCACGGGTGGCCGTGACATCCGCACGGGGCTGGGGCCCTGGCTTTTCTGTGGTCGGGGTCAGCTTCCTGTCGTCGCTTTTGGCATCGGGCCTGCGGGGCTTGAGGACACTGCTGGGCCGAGAGCAAGCGCGAGCCCGCCCTCTGGGCCCTGCCTGAGAGGCTGGGCCCGTCCCTGTTGAGAGAAACAAGACTTGGGCTCTCACCTTGCAGCCACTGCTGCCTTGGGGTGGCCAGCATTGACCGTGGGTCCTCTGAATGTGTTCAGGTGGAACGGGGCGATACCTGTTGTGTGTTTGGAGACCTCTGGGGAACCTTGCTGCCTTCCAGATTTCGTGCCCCTCCACCTTAGTCTGGGAGACCGCCTCCTGGGCACCCCGTCTCCCTCCTTTAATGGCACTGTCATTGGTTTGATGCTCTGGCTCCCAAGCGCGTGTGACCGTGCTGTCTCATTGGAGCTGCATGCTGCCTGTTGTGACCTTTCCACTGTAGTAGAGGTGAAGAGAGAGGCTCAGGATTTACCCATATCCCCCGATTGTCGAGTGGTGGTGCTGAGTACCCCCAGACGGGGCTCAGAAAGGACGGCCGGCCCTGTGGACTCCACATAAGGTGACAGTGACTAACAGGAAATCTCCTGGGCTCCCAGTTCCAGTTTACACACCCCTCAGACCCAGTGGGCCCAGGTTAGGACTGGAGCCAGAGGGCATAGGGACGTGTAGGCCATACTGTGACCAGAAACGTGCCAGATCTGCGAGCTGGGCACATGGGGGCATCTAAACTCTCTGGGCTGTGCCACCCTGAGTAGATAGAGGAAGTAAGCGTCTGAAGTCACTAAGGGGCAGGCACAAGGCTCCCGGAGTTCCTGGGGGGTCCAAAGGGAATTGGCTGGTGGGGTTGTGAGGAGGAGGTAAATTCCTCGGGAGAGGAAAGGGCGGATCCTCCGAGCCATGGAACCCTGGTGGTGGCTGCCTGGGAACCTGATGCGCTCCCGGTGTTCAGCATCAGACTGCCATTGAGGGATCTTGCTTTAGGAGCCTGCAGCAAGTGGCCTTTGCCTACCCTCACCCTCAGGATCTGGGGAAATGGGATAGGGAGAGAAAACCAGTACATTCTCCAGAAGATGCCTCTGCCCTGGGACCTGTGAGCCTTCTCGTAGGCACCAGGGCCAGCCTTCCAGAGGCCTCAGGGGGCCACGTCCTTATGAGCCAGGGCTGTCTCACTCTAGTTCCCCACGGGCTTCTGAAACCAGGGTGTCCCTTACGGATAGCCATTGTCCCCTGCTCTGCTGGCATCCTGCAGTGGCCTGCTGGGCGGGGCTGGGGCTGGGGCTGGGGCGCCCGGAGTAGGAATTCTTAAAAGTCCTCACTAGACACTGAAGAGGCCTCCTGCACTCAGTGGTCTCGGATAAATGCTGTGGCTGGTTGGTAGGCAGACTGGGGTGGGGGCTGGAGTGTAGCAAAGGGCCCCGGGGACTTGAGGTGAGAGGACATGCTGCTGGCACCCTTACCCTCTGGCCAAGGCTTCATCCCATCCTGGAACCCCCACTCCAGGGGGAGCTGTTTGCCCAGCCATGGAGAGGCACTTAGGAAGGTCAAGGGGTGACGCAAGGAGGTCGTGGCTGGGGTGGCCTGGCCAGGTCAGGGTGACTGGCCTACAGGCTGGGTCACCGAGTGGGCTAGGCCTCTAATCTACTCTCGCTCTCCCCTGGGAGCCCGAGGTAGCTGCCATTGGATAAGCCCAGGCTGGCAGGGACCCACTAACTCACAGACGCCAGGGGACCTTGCTGCTGGGAGAGCAAGGTGTGGCATTGCCCGCAGGCAGGCCAAGAGCGGGTCCTGTTCCTGGAGTCCTGAAAGCCGTTTGCCAGCAGTTGCTAGTTGCCGGATTGGGGTGGAGGGTGGGGGGAGGGGCTAGGAACCTTCTCGTGAGAACCCCTGCTTCCTTCCCGGCTCCTAGAGGGAAGTCTCAGGTTGCCCTGAAGATCATCCGCAACGTGGGCAAGTACCGGGAGGCCGCCCGGCTAGAAATCAACGTTCTCAAAAAAATCAAGGAGAAGGACAAAGAGAACAAATTGTGAGTGTCAGGAGGGAACAAGGGGGAAGCTTCCAGTAGGGATGGCATCCTCAGCCCCGTGGCCTGGACCCCCCAGCTGTGTCCTCTCCCTACCCATGGAGCCCGGGCAGCTGGGCCAGCAAGTCCTGCTGGTGGAGCTTGGGGTTGCCATCCAGGTCCCCCCATCCATCCTGTGCACTGAGGCAGGCCTCCCAGGCCCGCTTCCGTAAACAGGGGCCCGTGGGTCACGGCAGGGGTCAGGCAAGATGCGCCCCCGAACTGTTGGGCCCCCACATGGTCAGAGAGCTCCAAAGGAGAGCCAAGAGCTGCTCTGGCACACGCACGCTGGGTAGTCCCTTTCCTGCAGACTCGGGAAGCTCAGGGGGGCTGGAGAAGGGATGCACGATTCCATCTCTTCCTGAGGTGCAGGGATGGTGGCCGGGGCAGGACAGCTCGAGTCAGACTCCCCTCCCCCCCATAGCTGCCCCAGGGGCAGCAACCAGCTTGAGGGAGGGCCGGGGAGCCAGCGCCACCGAGGCTGAGCCCCGCGCACCATTCTCCTCCAGCCTGTGTGTCTTGATGTCGGACTGGTTCAACTTCCACGGTCACATGTGCATCGCCTTCGAGCTCCTGGGCAAGAACACCTTCGAGTTCCTGAAGGAGAACAACTTCCAGCCTTACCCCCTGCCGCACGTCCGCCACATGGCCTACCAGCTCTGCCACGCCCTCAGATGTAAGCGTCCACACTCCACGCACCAGGGGCAGCCACGTGCGCCCGCCAGCTGATCTGCGGGGCCCCGAGGGCTGAAAGGCCTTCGGGTAGGACTCCAGGGGAGGGGGCTCCCATGCCCCGGGCTCTCAGGCAGAAGGGGGTGCAGCTCCAGAGCCAGCCCAGCCCAGCCACTAGGCCCCCCTCATGCCCGTGGAGGATGGAAAGGCAGTGGCCCGACTCATAGGCCCCATGTACCCCGCGCTGCAGGACATGGTGGTCGGCATGGGCCGGGCTCCTGCACAGGTGGAGGGCGGGCCTCGGAGCTAGGCTGCACGGTGTCGGCTCAGGCAGAGGGCACAGGATGCACACCCGAGCTGGCAGAGGGGACCCGGCATGTGATGTCGGGGAGGAGACAGGAGCACAAAGTGGCGGGTGCCACCACTGGTGGAGTGGGGGCTGGAGGAAAGAGGTGGATGTCTCCCCCGGGCTGAGGGACAAGGAGCAGCTCCAGGGCCGGCCCTGGGGTAGTTGCTGGAGTGTTCTGTCGCTGTCATCTTGATACTGACTTTTTCCCAATTTGCCCCTGGCCCGCCAGTACCGCAGCTGGTGCTGGGGAGAGAAGCCCCCCCAGCTGACACTGCAGCTTCAGGGAGACGGGCTGAGGAGACCGGGCCTCCACCCAGGAGGTGGAGGGAGGTTCTCTAAAGGGAGGGTGTCCGTGCCTGCACCTCTGGTGAAGACTCGGAGCCAGGCAGGGCTGCAAGCACAGAGAAGTCAGGGAAGCCCGGCCAGCCTGGTCCGCGGCTGGCGGGGGTCCGAGGGCAGCCAGGTTCTCAAGGCCCGGCTCCTTCTGCCCTTGCCTCCCCAGTTCTACATGAAAACCAACTGACCCACACAGACTTGAAGCCAGAGAACATCTTGTTTGTGAATTCGGAGTTTGAAACCCTCTACAATGAGCACAAGGTACAGGTCGGGAGAGGCAAGACCTGCTCTGGGGTGGGTCACCCGCTGGGTCAGACTCCTGATCCGACTCCCTTGCCTCAGAGCTGCGAGGAGAAGTCGGTGAAGAACACCAGCATCCGAGTGGCTGACTTCGGCAGTGCTACCTTTGACCATGAGCACCACACGACCATCGTGGCCACCCGTCACTATCGCCCACCTGAGGTGATTCTTGGTGAGTGACCATGCGGCCCCAACTCTGACCACGCGGACGCTTGTTGGGAGGGTTAGGACTGGAGGCAGGGAGGTGCCCGCCGCCAGCGGCTGGTGTCCCTGTGGGCGCTGACTGGACCTCACCGGGAAAGGGTCTTCTCTGGGTTTGGGCAAGAGTCCTGCCAGCCGGAGGGCAGCTGACCTGTGACCGGAGTCTCCTGTTCTCTCCCCACGCTGGCTTTCAGAGCTGGGCTGGGCACAGCCCTGTGACGTCTGGAGCATCGGCTGCATTCTCTTTGAGTACTACCGGGGCTTCACGCTCTTCCAGGTGAGGCCCCCCGTGGTGCGGCACGTGGGCCCTGCTTGGGCAGGCTGCAGGGGCTGGGCAGCCCTGCGACTACCCACCCATCGGCACGGGTGGGACAACCGGGCTCCTGACGTCAGCGTAGTGGAGTGCTCGGCCTCCGGATGGAGGACGGGGCGGGGAGGCACAGCCTGCGTGAGGGTGCAGAGAAGGGCATGGCACGTTCTGGGAGGAGTGAGCAAGGGAACTGGAGACAGGTGCTCGCTGATGGGCGGGTCTGAGAAGCCCCGGAGCACAAACTTGACCCTGAGAGAAGGGGCTGGCGCTGCCACCGGGTCAGAGGCCAAGACTACTGTTCACTGATGGGTTCCCATCTCTGGGGGCAAGAAGATACTTGCCCATCTTTTTTTTTTTTTTTTTTTTTTTGGTCCATCCCTTACCTCCTGTGAGGGGCTGAGGCTCGCACTGAGCCTTGCTTGCTCTATTCCCGAAACCCCAACAGACCCATGAAAACCGTGAACACTTGGTGATGATGGAGAAGATCCTAGGGCCCATCCCGTCACACATGATCCACCGCACCAGGTAAGGCCCTGGTGGCAGCCTCCGGGCTGGCCATAGGCCACTGGCCAGTCTTCCTGGGACATCGTGGTTCCCCCAGACTCCTAGCAGCCTTCCCTCCCGAGCACCACACTGCATGACCTGGGAAACCACCCACGCACACATTCCCGCCCTGCTCGGTCCGGCCAGCTAGGATCCTGCACCTTGCTTCGCGGCCACTCCCGACTGCCACTGTCTTCCGCGACCTCCACCCATGACTTGTCGCCCTGCCACCCCTACCACATCAACCCCTTCTTTTCTTTCAGGAAACAGAAGTATTTCTACAAAGGGGGCCTGGTTTGGGATGAGAACAGCTCTGATGGCCGGTATGTGAAGGAGAACTGCAAACCTCTGAAGGTCAGTTCCTGGCTTTCCCCAACTCAACTCCTGCCGAGGAGACCCCAGGCCCTGGGCAGACACAGCAGAGACAGGCCGGGCAGCTAAAGGCTGCCGGGGGCAGGCCGAGGGGCCCCTCCCCACAGGGTGGCTCTGGATGTAATTGGGGAACCACCAGAAGAGCCAGATGTCAGAGACCTGCTGCCTCCTGCCCCTCTCCTCTCAGTTTTGGGAAGAACTAGGCGGGGCTGAGTGAGGGGGAGGGAGGACCTAGACATGGCCCGGAAGCCTCTGTCAACGGCATTCGGTGCCCAGACCCGTGAATTCTGCAGAGGTGATTTCTACCCACCTGTCAGGGATTTGCATGCGGGGGTAGAGGCACTGCGCCAAACGCTCTACACAGGCGTGAAAGGAAAGGAGCTGCTTGCTGTCAGGAGGGCAAAGTAGTCCTCCAGGGAGGCGGCAGTGCCACCTCAACCCGTGCAGCAAGGCTTCCCATGAGCCTGCTGTCACACTGAGGCGCCTTGTGTCCCTGAGCAGAGTTACATGCTCCAGGACTCCTTGGAGCACGTGCAGCTGTTTGACCTGATGAGGAGGATGTTAGAATTTGACCCTGCCCAGCGCATCACACTGGCGGAGGCCCTGCTGCACCCCTTCTTTGCTGGCCTGACCCCTGAGGAGCGGTCCTTCCACACCAGCCGCAACCCGAGCAGATGACAGGCGTAGGCTACCGCAGGAGCCGAAGAGTGGGACGGGGCCACCCGGCCTTTTCTCCAACCCCCACCACCAGGCCCCGGGGCCAGAGCCACCCAACGAACAGTGCAATGTGAAGGAAGGCAGGAGCCTGCAGGGGACGAGACTTGACGCCCGCCCAGCTGCCAGAAAGCACAGATTTGCCCCAAGCTATTTATATGTTGTAAAGTTATAATAAAGTGTTTCTTACTGTTTGTAACCCCTGGTACCAGTGTGTCCGTCTCCAGGCTCCTTGCCATCCCCACTCCCGGCCTTCTTAATAAAGTCTTTCTTAGCAGTTCAGCTTGTGGAGAGCTAAGTAAGTGTGAACTGGGCTGCCCAGAGGAGCGGGGTGTCCCCCACGCCCCGGGGAAGTGCCCTGAGGTGCTGGGCCCGCTGGGGCCTGGCTGGGCAGCAGCCAGTCTCCCCTCCTCCTGGCCCTGTCGCCAGCCGGCACTTCAGGGCGTATCTGCCCAAGAGCCGTGGCTTACTGAAGGCTGGCGGACGGGGCCTAACCAGCTGGGTTCCTGGGCCCAGGCGGCAGCTCCAGGCCACAGCCTGCACAGCAATTTACCAGAGCCCAGGCCTCCGTCATTCAGCTTTATTTTAAGTGCTGGTTTTTGGTTCCCCAAGAGCTGCATGAGTGGTAGTCCTGACCACCTGGATGGGGACTGGGGTACAGGATAGGACGCCTCTGAAAAAAGCTGAAGGCAGAGGAACCATGCTGATCTTTAAGACCACCAGGAAAGGCCCAGGCTGGGGGCAGGAGAAGGCTCCAGAGCCTCCCGCAGGAAGACAGGCCCAGGAACAAGCTCCCCGTGGCCCCTGACCAGGCCCTCGCTCCCAGGGCTGCTGCAACTTACCCACTGCAGCGCGCAGAGTCCGCTGGGCCAGGCTCCTCAGGCTCCTCTTCTGCTGTACCCAGCGCAGGGACGCTTACCAACAGGCAGGCACCCACAGTCTACTGGCTGCTTACTGAAAATGCCCGTAACCCAGCACTGCTCCTCAGACTGTGGCCCTGCCTCTACAGAAAGGGCTCCATCTTGGAGCTTCTTGGCCCTGAGAGTGAGCAGAGGTTCAGGGAGGATACACACAAGGCTCACAGTCTCTGGCTGCCTCCCACTGCTGGAGACAATTAACATTTGAGGAAGAATGGGAGGAAAAGAGGGACCAGCCCTCTGCCCTGCCTCATCTGCTCCTGGCTATGCTCCTATGAGAAGTGGGAAGTAGCCTGCAACAATCCATGGTACCAGGGCCTACCCTGTGTCCATATTCCTTGGCGAGCCCTCCCACTCACCCCCTTAACCAGAGTGAGTGGGCAGAAAGCAGAAGCCTGAAGCCCTGAAAATGGCTTTAGAGCATGAGCTTTTTGCAAGGGCCCCTGGCAGGTACTCTAGGGTATGGCTCGTGTTCTGAAACCAGCCTCCAAGGCCTAATCATGTGAGGTCCAAGGGCTTTCCTGCCTTAGGATCTGAGCAGCAGTGTGTTCCTATGGCTGAGACCCACCAGCTAGCTCATCTAGAACTAGCCTCATTTTGGCATCTTTGAGAGGGCGCTGGCCCCAAGCCTACTCATCTAGAGTGGACAATCATAAAGGGTTCAGAGCCTAGATGGGAGAGACTTGTGTCCTGCTCTGGGACAATAGCTGCAGAGGACCATTTCAGGGGGGAAATGGGGGCAGAAGAAAGGGGGGTATACGTGCAGGCAAGGAGGTAGGGGCAAGGTAGTGGTGGCCTAAGACACAGAAGCACCAGGGAGCCTCTTCTGGCTCAGCACCAGGCTCCCCCAGGGACCTCCCCAATACTGAACATTAAAGCTGCACCCTGAGGGCTCTGGCCCCAGCTAGAGAGGGTATGGGGCTGGGGGGGCACTGCTGGCAAGATGGGCACTGTGGTTCTACAGTAACATAACCTCATACTACGTATGCAGAAAACAAAAACAGTATAAAATCCCAATACAGTAAAACCATCCTGATGCCACCCCCTTTCCTGCCTCTCAGCGTGATGGAGTGGAAAGGAAGAAAGACCCTTGAAAAAAATCCCAGCATAAAACTTGCATCAGCTCAGGAGAAAGGGTCAAAAAGCCTCCAAATCAGCTCCTAAATCAACTTGCGGCAGGACTCTGGGAAGGCCACCTCCAAGCCCTCACCAGGAACAGAGTGCGAGTCTGCCCTCTAGCGGGCAGCTGCAGCACAGCCAGTTTGACATGATCAGAAGGGGGGGTGCAGAAGCAGGGGACATGGAGCCAAAGCAAGTACAGGGCCCCAAACAGGACCCGCACCACCCCGCAAGGTGCTTGCTCAGGCCCCAGTGACTGTAAACCTGAAACACAGTCCGTGAGTGAGCTGCCTAAGTCTGTAAACAAAGCCCCATCCAGCCACGCAGGGGGCCAAGGGTCGAGATGCCTAGAACCACTCAGCCTGCTGCCCACCCAGCACACCCACACACCTGCCCTGGCTACAGGCAGGTGACAGGTCATTTTTAAATAGGATCTGTTCTCTCACAGAAGTAACAAATCCAAAAGCGAAAAAATTTAACAAGGTCCATGAAGCTTCACATCCTTAAGGCGTTCGTTGTCAAGTTCAGTGTGTCCGGAGCAGCAGGGGACCGCAGGGTCTAATTCGCCCAGAGCTCCTCTAGGCCGAGTGCAATGGAATGACAAACTTGCAGCCAAAGGGGGAGTGGTAGCTGATGCCCACCTCCTGGAACACCTGCTGGGGGAGGCCGATGTCACACAAGTAGATGCGGCCTGCACGCTCCCCCAGTGGCAGAGGCAGGCCCAGGGCCAGTGACCACTTGGCGTCGATGCCCTGTTCACCTTCATGCACGGGAGGGTCTATGCTGAGCACTGGCGCCCGGTTCCGGTTGGCCCAGGCCACAGCTGCCTTGTACCAGGGCTGGTCCCGCAGGAAGGCATTCTCGGGGCAGTCCAGGCAGTTGATCACTAGATCCACAGGGCTAGTGGGCAGATCTGCGGGAGGAAAGAGCGCTATATGGGAATCGCTATAAGCAGAGAGCAGCCCAGGTGGGGACTGGAACCCAGATGGCCCCAAGGGTGTCTTGTCCTGACACCACTCCAAGGACTTGCCACAGACTGGCTTTCTCAAGGCTGGACCAGGCCCCTGGACCTCTGCGGCCTGGTTGGGCTAGGCACCAGAGACTAAGGGCATGTCAGCCCAGTGGACCATTGTCCTCACGGAGTCCCCAGGCTGAAGTAGCATCCTGCTGGCCATCTCCAAGAACAGCAGATGCACATCCAACTAATTCCCTGGTACACTATGAGCTCTGAGAATGGGGCGCTGACTGCCAAGTCAGCCCTCACAGGGAGCCCTGCCCAGAGCCCAGAAGAAATGGGCTGACTGCCATTTGCTGACTGGCCCAAGAACTGGAAGCAGGCCAGAACGCACATACTCTACCTCGAGCTAGCCGCCTCACCGGACAAGAGCCAGCCCGGCTTTGCCGCACCCCGCCCCACCTCATGAAAATGGGCTCTCCTTGCAGCCCACTCTGAGGGATAGGGAAGGAATGGACTACTTCTCCAGGCATTTGAAAAAGTTTCTCTGCTCAAACCACACCTCTCAGGCAGTGTAAGAACAGATGTCTCAACAACTATGTAAGTCTTGACCAGCTTAAGAGGGTAATTGGAGAATAGGAGAAATCAGACCAACTCAAGGTCAGCATCTTCAGACTTGGCTCCTGGAATTGAAATAGGAAGGCTTTTGGGTAGCCAGAGGAAGAACTGCCTATAACACGGTATCATGTTACAGATCTCAAGCTGCGGAACCCACGCCAGACCCCCTTCCTGGCTAAAGTAATGATATTTCTTAATTAGGGACTCATGGCTTCCTTACTTAGAGCACCATGAAGAAGGGGGCGGGGATGTCCCTGGGGGCCAGGAGGCTTTCAACAGTAAGAGAGGGTCTTACCTTCCACGTGCACAACAGGAGGCTGGCTGGAAGGAGACAGAGTTATGGCCCAGGGTCTGGCCTCAACCTGCCATCTGACCCCCAGCAAGGGCCTTCTTCATATTTCTTCTCTCTTCTCCTCCTGCCCTGCTCTCACTAAAACCCATTCCAATCACTTTGTTGTCCCTACCCTCCCTTCCCCACCAGCCCTTGAAACTGCCCTGGTCCAGTTGCTCTCTCAACTCCCTGACTTCCTAACAAAGAACTGAGTCTCACAACTTCCCTACCCCTTCCTAGGAGATAGCCTACCCAGGCTCACTAGGGCTCATTCCCGCCTACACACCCGGTACTTCAGACCAGACCCCTTCACGTACCTGTGGACTTCTCTGTATCAGGCAACAGTTACACCTGCTTATCCAACAGGTACCTCCGACTTTCTGCTCCTCCTCCCACAAATCTTCCCATTTCAGGATGGCACTTCCCTCCTTCTGGTGACTCAGGCCAAACACCTTGAAGTGTCATATAATCCTCCCGTGTCATATACCTTACAACAAGGCTGCAGCCTCTACTCCAAAACTTAGAAACTAACCCCGCTTCACCTCTTCTACCACTACCACTGTCTCAGTCCCCAGCATCTCCTCCCAGTTTATCACAATAGCCTCTCAACAGTTCTCTTTGTAAACCTCTAGTCTCTTCTCAAACAGCAACCACATGATCACTGGGACCTGAGCTGGATTCTATCTTCCTTCTACTTATTCCTCCAGTGACCCACCATCTCAGCCACGGTAAAGTTCAAACCCTTAACAGTGATCTGCAGGCCTTATACAACTTGACCCTTAACGCCTAAGTTAGCTACTCCCTACCCAACCCTCCAACCCTTTCTAGCTCCCTTCCCTACTTTGTCTCCATAACACCACCACCTGGCCTAATAGAAATGTTACTTGTTTCTTTGTCCTAAGTAGAACGTATACTGCATGGAAGAATGGATTAAAAAAAAAAAAAATCTACTGCCACAACCTGTGTCAAGAATAGTGTCTGTTCTGTAATGTTTGTAAAATAAACAAATGGGCCCCAGGCTCTATATGACTGTGCTGGAGAGTGAGGACAGCGAAGGGATGGGAAGTAAGCAAGTCAACGCCCGCTTTGTGTACCAAGACTCCTAATAGGCAGAGCAGGGTTTACATCTGTGGTGATGTTCCACCTGTTGCCACTGGGTGGCAGCACCAGACTATCAAATTCTGTGAGGAGGGAGGAGGCCAGAGGCCCCGGGCAGCCCTAAGCAAGGGCTCACCTTTGAGGTTAGATACTTGTTGGCCTTGGGTCTTGCTGAAGAGAGACAGCTCGATGGTGATGGACTCCAGCATCTTGACAAAGTTGGGCAGGAAGAGGATGACCTGGACATCATGGTTGGCCAGGTGCCTTCCACAGCTGATCCCCTGGGCCCCTTTCACATGGGGGCCACACAGCAGGGCCACCGTGGGCCTCTGGTGAACATTTTTGGGGTTCAACCTGGAACAGAAGGTAAATAAGCTTTATCAGCTGCAGATCTGTCTTGCACCCTAACCAGGCGAGTGCCTCTCAGGACCTGTTGCTCTCAGAGTTCTCCACAGTCCCAGGTCCCAGAGTGAAAATCCACCGCATTCCAAGACTACGGGTGGCATTCCCACGGTCCCACGGTCCCACGGTCCCACGCTCACGTCACTTCATCTGCTGGGTCCTTTCACTAGGCAGATCACCCAGATCTTGTTCCTAGAACACTGTTGCCAGAACACTGCTCTCTGGGATGCCCAGGGGGCTCAATGGTTGAGTGTCTGCCTCTGGCTTAGGGCATGATCCTGAGGTCCTGGGATCAAGTCCCACATTGGGCACCCTGTGGGGAGCCTGCTTTTCCTTCTGCCGGTGTCTCTGCCTCCCTCTCTCCCTATATCTCATGAATAAATAAAATTTTTTAAATACTTTAATGATAATTTTTAAAAAAGAAGACTGCTCTCTGACTAGAAACACTAACTGTTCTGTGGGACCTGTGAGGTCCAAACTGACTAGCAAAGAGACTTCTCCATCTCTATAGCCTTCTTTGCTCTTCTTCCCCAACATATTGCTCCACTGCAGTAAGGCTGGCCTCACTCTCTCCTGTATTATAAAGCTCTTTCTTGCTTTTCCTCAAACTCTGTCCCCTGCCCAGAAAGCCCCTCACCTGTCAAACTCTGACCCACCTTTCCTTTGAAATCCAGCTCAAGGCTCACCTCTTCCAGGATCACTCAGCTCACTTCCTAAGAAACTCACAGCAAGTACCAAATGGGACAGTTCTAAATCGTCCTCAATCAGTTACCAGACCAAGTTCTCTTTACTGAGCTGCCAGTAAGCAAAAGAAGGGCAACGCTAGATACTAATAGTACCTCTTCCACTCACAGGATGTTGTGTGGATCAATGCACATATAGCATTTAGAACGGGGCCGATACATTAGAGCATTGGTCACAGAGAAGGCAGCAGGCTAGGGGTTCCCTGATCTACACTGGCAGTTCCCTTGGATACCCACCTTCCTGATGAAGTCATTTCCAGCTCCTGCCATTCAAAGCCGAGCCACAAGTAAGGAGTTGTGGGGGATAACTCTGGAGCTGTTCCCAACTCCAGACCGGTACGGTCTGTCTCCAGGACAGAAGGCAGGGGGTGGGGGGAGATGGACAGCAAGAAGTCCCTCCTTAGCAGTGACAGTCACTTACTAGTCTCCCAAAGAGGGGACGATGACAGATGCTATTCATGTCTGAGAGGAAGCCCCTGTGCTCCAAATAAATATGGGGAAATTTAGCAATGTACCCTGCATATATACCAAAGCATTCATTTCAAACCCCCACTATGTTTGCATCTTAGGGAAATGTGATGAGCACTTCTTCCTTCAGACAGACATTGCTGAGCTGTAGTATCTGACTCACCCATGTCTGCTGCTAAAACAGACTCTTCCTCTCAGAACCACCCCCCATCAGAGGACCCAAAGCAGACCCTGGTACCATACAGCCCACAGCAGGCGGCAGGGTCCAGCCACTGGAAACAGACCTATCTGGATGGGAGACCTGGCTCTACCAAGTACCAGCAGAGTCAACGTGGGCAAGCCTTTCAGCTCTCTGCGCCTTAGCTGGCTCATCCTCAAACACCAGACTATTTACCTTCAAGGCTGTCATGAGGATCAAATTAAACACGGCTGTGAAAGCACAGTGAAAAACTGCATGGTACTGGACACACATGAAAAAGATTACTAGCTGTGGCGATCCTTCTCAAAGGCGCTGCAGGAGACAGCCCTTCTGAGAGGTCAGATGTGGCAAGAAAAGAGGCCCAAGGACAACCAGCCCCAAGAAGCTGGCTAGAGAGCAAAGTGACTCGGTGAGGATGTTCATATGCTGCCCCGACACCGCTGTTTCTGAAAGCCCTTTGGCAGCTCCCTACTGCGCAGCTGTCGCAAAGCCCTACTTCCCAGTCACACAGAATGACTCCGCAGATCCCTGCCACATCCACACTGTCCATTCTGTTTGCCCTCGGCGTAGGCTCCTCCCCAGACCTGGACTTCTCGCCCTGCCAGCTTGCCTCTGTTGATTCCCTGGGCCCCCTGCAGGACTCAGCTTGAAGGCTACCACAGCTTCCCAGACAACCACGGCAATGTATTGTCTGGAGACCTCACAGCCTTCCAGATGGCAGGCTCAGTGTTTTATTCTCCTGTGTGTCCCCAGCACAAGGATTGGCACAGGAGATCAGTAAATGACACAAATACAATTAAGCACTGCTCTTGACATAAGGGCCCAAAGGGCAGGTACGAAGGCACCAAACTCCAGCTCTCCCACCCAGCTGTCAGGGTGGTTCTAGAAGTTCTCAGATATGGAACTCAGGAGCTGATCTGTATCCTAGCCCCTCCGAATGAAATACAAGTGTCAAAGGCTGAGTCTCTGAAGGTTCTTAAAAAGCAGGCCTCTGGTAGCCAGCAAGCAGTGTCAAAGCCAGCTGTTATTGGAAAGAAAGGGTCAAAGAGCAGCTTGCTGAGAGAAGAATGAGGGTTTCCGGGAGGTGGGTAAGATGGGCAAACAAAACCTTCAGAGCTCCGGGAAAGGGACTCACACTGTCTGAGGAACTCTGTGCGGCGCACTGGTGGTGCCTCAGCAGAGCAGAACCTCCCCACCCTCAGCCCTCACCAGTGTAGAGGCATTTACCTGTTGGGTCCTCCAAGCAGGGTCAGGGCCATCTGACTGGCACACACTCCTGTCATCTCCAGTCTCCGCTCCAGAGTCAACCCGTGCTTCTCAGCCACAGACAACAGCTTTTTATGCAGTTCGTAGGAAACACTTGGGACAACCAGGCCAGAGTCTGCAGTTCAAAAGGAGGTGAGCAGAGAAAGGGAAAGTGAGGACAGGAAACCAGAGCCACAAATGAGTGTACTCGATCCAGGATTCTGGGAAAGCCAAGACTCTAAGACTGGCCCTCCGCTGGCCCATCCTCCTGATCTGGGATGGAGGTGTAGTATGCAGCCCTCCAGAGTAGTAGATGGAGAAGTGAGTAACAACATGTGCATGTTACCAAAGAGCAGTTGTAAGCTTAAGCACTCTTAGCAGTTTATTATTTTTTAGACTTAATTTATTTGAGGGGTGCCTGAGTGGCTCAGCAGTTGAGGTTTGCCTTCGGCTCAGGGCGGGATCCTGGGGTTCCGGGATCGAGTTCCACATAGGGCTCCTTGCATGGAGCCTGCTTCTCCCTCTGCCTATGTCTCTGCCTCTGTGTCTCTCCTAAATAAATAAATAAAAATCTTTAAAAATTTTTTTATTTATTTGAGAGCAAGAGGGCAGGCGCAAGCACCCAAGGTAGGGAGGCAGGGGGCAGAGCAGAGGGAGAGGGCTGAGCAGACTCCTCACTGAGCCAGGAGCCACAGAACTCAATCCCAAATCCCAGGTCCCTGAGATCATGACCTGAGCCAAAGTCAGAGGCTTAACCAGCTGAGCCACGCAGGCGCCCTTCCCTTAACAATTTAGCTTTAGACCACAAAAGCCAAGTCTCTCAAGACCTACTTGGTTATTGCAGAGAAAAGGCTGGCACAGCATGTAACAGCAACCTGTGGGCCATTGCAGAAGAGAACATGCTTTTCGAAAATGGGGGAAATGCTGTTCCTGGCAGTGGGGCTGTCCTCATGGACTCCTTCCCCACAAATGGAAGGGATGCTAAGCCTCCCAACCCTCTGTTCCCCAGTGTTCAAGGTCTAGGCTGGATGACTTGCCCATTCCATTTGCTCCCCACTTCCTCTTCTTTCTCCTCTATTCTACTTAGTCCTTCCTCTTTGCTTAAGAAATTCAATGAGTGGAATGCTAGGTGGCTCAGCAGTTAAGCATCAGGGCGTGATCCTGGAGTCCCGGGATCAAGTCCCACATCAGGCTCCCTACATGGAGCCTGCTTCTCCCTCTGCCTGTGTCTCTGCTTCTCTCTCTCTCTCTCTCTCTCTCTCTCTCTCTCTCTCTCTATCTCTCTCTGTTTCTCATGAATAAGTATAATCTTAAAAAAAAAAAGAAATTCAATGAGCAATTTCTTTTCTCAAATAATTTGTCATTTTCTCCCCTTATTTGGGGTGAATATAACCTACTACTCAAATCTCAGGGAAAGAGTACATGGAAAGCAACCTACTCCAAAGAATCTTGAACATTTTATTTGCCATAAAGAAAGGAACTCTATAAAGGTTAGGGAGAATCAGTCATTGAAAGTACACCATGGAAAATACTTAGTTTTATAAGGCCAAAGTCTGCAGCAACTGGTACACTTGCAAGAGTCTTACATGCATCAATACCAACGTATCAGATATCATCTCAGGGCCCAGAAAACCAGGACAGGAAATAAATGCCAAAATAAGTAATTGTGATCTGTAATGTGCGGCTTGTCTTGACAACCAATGCCATCTTAACAAATACTAGAAGCCACTGGACTAGCTCCCCCAAGGGAGCAGACCTTTGCCAAAGAGCCCCATTTGGCCTCACTGGCTGATAGACCAACACACACAAATCCCAATAGCAAGTCATCATGGAATCCCACATAATTTGCTTTGTCTGGCTGGATCAGATGCATTTTTAGATCCTGGGTCTTCATCTATACTAGACTATTAACTCCTCAAAGCAGGGAAATAAAGTTCTTTGCCCCCATCTCAACTGGTCTCAGACACATTTAACAACAAAGGTGAGTTTTTATCAAGTACTCAAACACAGAATGATGCAAACCCAGTGCTATTTCTGGCCTGGCCTAAGTCTAGTAGAACTTTTCATGAAGCTCATCATTACCATATTGGTTCCAAAGCCCTGTATAGAAAAACGTCTTCCTCCTTGATCATTTCAGGAATAATTTCTTGAAGTTCTATGAGATATCCAGTCCTGCCTACATCGATTCTTAAAACCATGCAGAACAAGGCTATGGTGGTACATTGGAAAAACAGGAATCCAAGCACAAAGACTGAACCTCAAGCCCCAAGGTATAAATATATCCCTCTTAAAGACAGGCAAAATAATAATTTAACGTAGTGAGGACAACAAAAGATGTCTACTCATCAAAATTAACGCTATCCTGTTGGTTAACTGAACTCTCTACTTGCCTGAGTCCTATTCCTGCCTTGGCACAAACAGTGCCATTAGGAACACTGTCTCTTCTCTCACTCTTTCTGAAATGTCAGTCCTAGGTGCCAATGCTGGAGGCTGCAGCCTGACCTTGCGTGTCAGCAGCTGATTAAAAGAGCCATTTTTATAGCCTGCTCCAGACATGCACATATTATCAGAACTAATTAGGAATCGTTGATAGCAGTGTGAAAAGGTCAAATGAATTCTCAGGAGTCCTAAGCCACTAACAACCCTAAACCTGTCAGACACGTCATGCCTACTTCAAACACCCTCTTTACCTGCGAAGTCACGCAAGAGAGCGCTTTCCCTCAACCCTGTGCATTTCTTCACCCATTTCCCATTTATCTGCTTTCTGTTGAATCTGAAACAGATCGAGACTCACTAGTCCTGAGCATGCCACCCTACAAATCAAGCTTGCTTTCTGGACCTACATCTTGTACTGTGTGTACAGGTACCCCCTCTCCCTTCCTGAGGGCTCTCTGAAGGCAGGTAAGTACTTTCTGCTACCTTTCTCCTCAGTCCTGGAGGGTACAAAATGCACAGTACATGGAGAGGAGAGCTGACCCCACAGCCTGGCTGGCTGGCGGCTACAGCTCATGCCCTCACTGGTGGTGGGAGCACTGTTGATGAACTGGCACACTTTGTAGCCTAGGGCAAGACAAAGCCAGGAATCCTTTCTGCTCAGGCTGCCAGTTACAGGGCCTAGGTTTTCAATGTACCTTGCATACACAGTTTCTCTGAAAGGAATGTGCAGGCACCACAAAATGTTCCTTTTCAACATTTACACACAAAGGCCAACCAGGCCAACCTCGTCAGACTGGCTTATCAGAAACAGGCAGAGGGAATAAGATAAACTCCAAAGGAAGGGAACCAAGAACATAGCGTGTAAATTGCAAACAATAACACTGCCAAAGCCTGAACATGAGCCAAGCCTAATTATGTTTGGGCTGGAAGGTGGATCTTATTGTTCTGGAACGAAGGCAGTAAAATCAGTTGGTAGGGTTTCTCTCAGTATGTATTTTACAGCTGTCGGTAAAACAAGAAAGGGAGATATAATTACAGCCAGTTCGTGACAAGCAGAGCACATCTAAGGACCTGATTAACCTTAGGGTATCCCGGAAAACGGCTGACTCCTCTCCACACAGCTCACTCAGCAGCATGAGGCTAGAGCCACGCAACCTCACAGGCCAGCCACCACGGTGCCTGCTATGGCCTCCCCTCTTCAGGTCTTCCTCACTTCCACGTGGCTCCTTCCAGTACATATGACTTACGGCCTCTGCCCCTCCTAGGGACATACACATTCTCACACACTTAAGCACCAAGTCCAAACCTTCTCTAGCAGACTCTGCATGAACATCCCTCCTTGTCCTTCAAATCTCCCGGCCTTCTGGTTGTGTGACAAGGCTCCCACGACAAAGTTGTCAGCTCAGAGCTAAAACTCAAATCTTCACGCTGACATGGCCCTTCAATTAGAAAGGCCGTGTATGTCCCATGTCTTATCAATGAGGAGCACAGCTCACTGAATGCTCAATGCCTCAGTGAGGGCATGGTGATTTCTCCAGAGCTGTCAATTCAGATTCCATTCTATGGGGATCACATAACCATGGGGCAGGGCAGCATCATACTGGTTCTTTTTCTTTTTTCAGTCTTTATTTTAATCACCTAGTGCTCATCAGGACAAGTGCCACTTCTTAATCCCCATCACCTATTCACCCATTCCCCCCTCTTCCCCTCTGGTGACCTCTGGTTTATATTCTATAGATAAACACACAGGTTCTTCTTGGGAGTATAAACCAGTAAATTCATACCCACAGACCCACATTGTACAAGAGAGCCCCTGTAGATTTACATTAAAACTACACAAAATGAAATTTGGTGTCAAGTGTACCTCTGAAAGAAGGATCTGTTACAAGAAGCCTAAAAACTCTTAAGGCCCTTTATTAGGGCCCACGAGGCCTCCCATGATCTTGCCCCTGTTTACTTCACCCCCTTTACCTTGGACTCCAACTCCCACCATGCTCCAAGGCACCTCAGCTGCTTTCTGGTTCCTAAACACACCTAGTCCCTTCTGGCCGGAGGAAGCACATCCCCTTTCCTGGGACTCACTCTCTTCTCTCTTCCAGTGCTCTACTGCACTCATGGCTGGTTCCTCATTCTTCAGGTCTCAGCTTAAATAACTCTCAGCCTCTGTTTATTTGCTGTTTATTTCCTTTACTGTACTGAACACATCATGTAAATAGCTGTTCTTTCTTTCTGGACCATCTACTTTGTCGGACTGTAAGCTCCATGAAGGCAATGACCATGTTCATCTTGCTCACTACTGTACCCTGCTCTTCATGGTCCCTTCAGTGTGAGCACAGGGTCTGGCCGGGGCTACATAAATATGTGTGCAACTAATGAACAAATGGGAAGGAGATCTATAAAACCCTCAGCACTTTCCATTCTGCAACTTGGTAAGAGCCCAGCTGTAACCAAAGGTGAATGTGGGTGAAATGTTTCTGACTCTCCCTACCCTTTCCTTCCCACCATTTACAACAAACTAGACCAAACTCTATCCACCCTGGACCTCATTCCTTCAGGTTAAAGCTCCACTGGAATAAGCTTTGGACTAAAGGGGTAAAGGACCTCCTGAACAAGATGACTTATTAATTATTAAGAGAGAAGTATCTTTACAAAGAAGAAACCCAAATGCCAATACCTTGCCAAGTGATTAACTCGGCCCCA